GGGGGGGAAATCCTTCTTGAAACGATCAGGCCAAACACAAGACCCGTGTACCTGAATTGTTTGAGCAAGTAAAAGGTTTCAAATCTCGCCCACGTCCCATGGCCAATCAAGCATCTCTTTTATTGCACAAAAGCAGGGGTTGTAGAGATTTTCTCTTCACAGCACGACAGTAAATGTGGGGCTTCTCATGCACGAAACAAACGCAATCGAAACGCCATGAGTATCCTTTGGCAACAAAAATGAAGGCTTGAAAAAGTCGACGAGGAAGATGTTTCTAAAGCGATGCATACATATACTTAAGTTTGGCATAATAGATTCGCTTTTAAAATCGCTTTTAGGTGGGACGCTTCCAGCAAAGGCTTTTGTTTTCGAGTTGATTGACCCGAGTTGTTCTCCAGACTGCTGTACAAATACCGGTCGGTACTACATGCATTTGTTTGGGAAACCGAACAAACTACTGCCTGGGTGACCCGACTGAGTTTTCTGTATGAAATTTGGATCGCGCAAATTTTAGGTTTTTACGGTTTTCTTACGATGTTGCCATGGTACCATGAAACCATAAGCTAAATTTCAACCAAGCACCATATCTGTTGACAAAGGTGACACTGATCTGACAAACGAACTCTAATATATAGATTTAGGCCAGCCTAAAAGCGTAGCTCTGGGCAGGGTTGTTCAGAGTCCGATTAAGCTAACCCAGGAAAAGGTAGAATTTTGATTTGAGCTTTGTATCTTTGCGGTGAGGTTTTCTGTATATTGTTTGGCCTTCTGTGTTGAGTTTAAATAATCACCATATACACAAAACAAAGCAGCAAAAAATATTTGTATAGAAGAAAAAGTTATAATTCGGTTAACTACTAATCCTGGGTTAGCGTTAACCGGCTTGCGAACAATCCTGCCCTGTTTTCAACAAGTTAACCTGACATGAGTCCGCGATCCAATCGATAACCAGCACTTGGTCAGCGGTCAACTTCAAAAAAACACGTGACCTCGATGAGCTATAAACTTGAGTCCGCGATATGGTCACGTAATACTGGTCAGCGGATACTTTGTTTTGACAGGTGTCAATTGATCATAACATGGATGTCCAATATCAAAGAAGTACACGGTAAACCTAGGCTGCATGTCTCTGTCAACCTATTATTTGGCGTATGACCGCCATGTTGCGCGATTCCGTCGTCGTCGTCGCCGTCGCCGTCGTGCGTACGCGCCCACAAGCAATGCCGCTAGCCATGATAACCATGAGAAAATCAACTCATGGGTTTCCTTTTCGTTCCTATATGAGTATGGGGCTCCGCTATCAAAACGCTAGGAAAGTGAAAGATCAACCTGTTCATTCCGTCACGCTCCTCTTAAGAATTTTATTTTTTTAACAAGTTCTGCCTTCCACCCTCATTAGTTTTCCTCCTCCTAAGCCAAGACAATTCCTGCATGCAAAAACAATCTTTTCGAGGGAACTAAGTGGGTCTATTCGTAACTGCGCAGTTTTCCATTCATTTCTCAACGTTTCCACGACTTTTCTTTTGAGTTGTTAGAAAACTTTAAAATTGGTTCACAAGAAACTCTCCTCTAATTAATCAGAGCAAAGCAATTACCTACTACGCCAATCACGCGCCGTAATTTCTTTGGGTGTGATTTATCTCGTAATATTACGAAAATGGCTCCATTAGTACACGAAATGAATTTCTTTTTTAATTAACAAGAAATTAGGGCTCTTCAACTGAACTGTCTCTTACTGTTCTTGTCGCAATAGGTAATTGCAGATCTAAGGTTTTAAGTCAAAACAAAGTCAACGATAAAATGTTTCCTTTTTACAACGACGGAAGCAACACTGTCTACTGAGAAAAAATTCCGTGATCAAAGCAGTCGATTTGAGGAAGCTTCGGTTCTTGTGGAGCTTCACCAGGTGCTGTGCTGTCTTTGTGCTCTGACATCGAACACACGTGATTTTGCACATTGTGAGTGTTTTTTGATGAGGAAAATCCCCTTCGAAGCAAAGTTATCAACAATGTTCAAGCCATTCACATCACCACCATCAGCTCTTCTTCACTCTGGTCTTCCTCCGCCTGCTCCTGCTCCTCTTGTTTGTGTTCCTCCTTGTTCTCCTGCTCTTTCTTTCACACCACCACGACTCGAAGAGATTCAAACGCACATGAAAACTCTTGTAGGGAAGGGTTTTGTTTCATTGAACTCAGTTCACGCCTTTCCTGAGGCTTCCGTGCTTGTTATCTCAACTATACAAAGCAACATAAACTTCACCAACGAAACTTAATCCTGGAAGCTTTTTCGCAGATTACAGACAAGATTTTCTCAGGCACTGCAAACTTTCTTGTTAAACAAAACCGCTGACTTCTCAAACGACAGCCATTGAGCAGTTTTTTTTTGTGTCTACCAAAGTTCTTAGCATGGCGTTGTTTGCAGTGTTCTTTGGCACAACTACTGCTTTCTTTACACCACAGCGTACTGTTCATATAAAAGTTCCCGGATCTTGTAATAGTCATCGCACACGGCTCCTTCCAGTCCCACGCGACCAGTCTCGTTCTGAAGAAAAGAAATATTAACTTAGAGGAGTGGGAAAAGTTGAGAACAGGCTACTATCCTCAGTTCGTTTGGTTCAAAACTACCAAGAGTTCAACAAAGAACATAAACGATAGTACGAAAAATAGGAAAAAAGCTGTAGAAACATGGATTACGTTCATTGTAGACAGCTAATTCAGGTCTTATAACGAAATTACTCCAAAGTCCACCCACTTTCAGTCAACAGACAAATTTCATACAGAGAGCTGTTAACTCTGTAATACTGGCCGGGATAACCACGCTCAGCCACTGAAAACCTCAAGGAGATAACTGCCGGTTTAACTTCTCTTCGTGACAGCATCACTGAATTAGAATTTCAAGATAACTTTACTTACCCTTCTAACTGCAACAACATTGTTACAGATCAGAACGCCACCCGCAAATTCCGCCTGGATACCGGCCTTGTTCAACACCTGCTTAAAATCTGACAGGCGAGGCTCGTTGATATACACCGAGGTGTGCCCAGTGATCTGGGGAGAGAGGACATGGGCGTTAGGGGCTCTTTCGTATACTGAATCTAGGGACACAAATTTGCGGCAAGTGGAAGCAACATTACTATACAATTTAAGGTTACAAGGTTACAAGGTTACACTATTTAACCTTGCTAAGCTAGACGCCTAACGGAATCGTTTGAAAACGCAAGAAATTCTAAAGATCTCTGTTAACAGGGCACTTGTGCAAGAAATGAAAGTCAATAAATCCTCACCTCAGACAACGAAAGTTGCTCTAACACAGGTACCGTGTCCATTGGCTCCTCCTTACCACTTTGATCAGTTTCCATTTTCTCCTGACCTTCGTCCTCGTCACGCAATTCTCCATCCTCTAGAACCAGCCCCACGTGCGAGTCGGAAGCGTTCATGTGTAGCTGTCCATCCACCCACGCGAGTTCCGCGTCACGCGCGCGAGAAAACTGCAACGAACTAACTAGCGCGTCACGCAACTTGACCTACCGGGTGAAAAGTGAAAATTTATAACACGATCGTCTTTGCTCAAATAGGATGTACATTACTTTTGGACAAATAATCAAAGATTAACTCTATGTAGGATGAGGCAAAATGTGAAAATCGTTCGAACTCTGTAAAATAAAGAAGGGATATCGCTATTGCATAACCATCAAGTCACACATTAGGGTTCCATCCACAGANTGTCTACCAAAGTTCTTAGCATGGCGTTGTTTGCAGTGTTCTTTGGCACAACTACTGCTTTCTTTACACCACAGCGTACTGTTCATATAAAAGTTCCCGGATCTTGTAATAGTCATCGCACACGGCTCCTTCCAGTCCCACGCGACCAGTCTCGTTCTGAAGAAAAGAAATATTAACTTAGAGGAGTGGGAAAAGTTGAGAACAGGCTACTATCCTCAGTTCGTTTGGTTCAAAACTACCAAGAGTTCAACAAAGAACATAAACGATAGTACGAAAAATAGGAAAAAAGCTGTAGAAACATGGATTACGTTCATTGTAGACAGCTAATTCAGGTCTTATAACGAAATTACTCCAAAGTCCACCCACTTTCAGTCAACAGACAAATTTCATACAGAGAGCTGTTAACTCTGTAATACTGGCCGGGATAACCACGCTCAGCCACTGAAAACCTCAAGGAGATAACTGCCGGTTTAACTTCTCTTCGTGACAGCATCACTGAATTAGAATTTCAAGATAACTTTACTTACCCTTCTAACTGCAACAACATTGTTACAGATCAGAACGCCACCCGCAAATTCCGCCTGGATACCGGCCTTGTTCAACACCTGCTTAAAATCTGACAGGCGAGGCTCGTTGATATACACCGAGGTGTGCCCAGTGATCTGGGGAGAGAGGACATGGGCGTTAGGGGCTCTTTCGTATACTGAATCTAGGGACACAAATTTGCGGCAAGTGGAAGCAACATTACTATACAATTTAAGGTTACAAGGTTACAAGGTTACACTATTTAACCTTGCTAAGCTAGACGCCTAACGGAATCGTTTGAAAACGCAAGAAATTCTAAAGATCTCTGTTAACAGGGCACTTGTGCAAGAAATGAAAGTCAATAAATCCTCACCTCAGACAACGAAAGTTGCTCTAACACAGGTACCGTGTCCATTGGCTCCTCCTTACCACTTTGATCAGTTTCCATTTTCTCCTGACCTTCGTCCTCGTCACGCAATTCTCCATCCTCTAGAACCAGCCCCACGTGCGAGTCGGAAGCGTTCATGTGTAGCTGTCCATCCACCCACGCGAGTTCCGCGTCACGCGCGCGAGAAAACTGCAACGAACTAACTAGCGCGTCACGCAACTTGACCTACCGGGTGAAAAGTGAAAATTTATAACACGATCGTCTTTGCTCAAATAGGATGTACATTACTTTTGGACAAATAATCAAAGATTAACTCTATGTAGGATGAGGCAAAATGTGAAAATCGTTCGAACTCTGTAAAATAAAGAAGGGATATCGCTATTGCATAACCATCAAGTCACACATTAGGGTTCCATCCACAGACTTGAAGTGAAAACAACATTGTACGACATAATTTTTAAAGCTTTAGCTTTGATCTTCAAGGTCCATTAATTAAAACCATTTTGCATAGCATGAATAAACAACACCACATATGCTTTCGTTCTCAAAACAAGTAACTTTTATTTAAGTGGTCACACAAAAGTATTTCAGCATATTAAATAGTACCACATGAAAGTACTCCTACACTATCGCAGAGGTCTTACTGTGGACAAAGCCCTTTGCAAGGACATCACTTGCCCTGAATGTTGGATCTTACTTCCAGGCATGTTGAGCTAGATAGGAACACCATTATCGCAGCTTTCATTAGCAGTGAAACCCCGCCTTTAGCGATTCCCTTATTTTAAGATCCCTTCATGTTTGTGGCCTTAAGAAGATTGTATTAGCAGAATACCACTACATTTTAAATTGCTAATATTTACGCTTCTTTTTCAAAAATAAATTCTCGAGCTCGTAAAATAACTAGCACAGACAACGACACTAAGTGTTTTCTTTCTTTGTGCCTCACCTGGTAAATGTATCTTTCTCCAGTGGAGTCGACAGTGTCTCCACATCTTGGAGTAAAAACCTGGTTTACTTGAATGCTGCTGGTCTGCCGACAGTACTCAGCCAAGTGTTCTGTGGCTTCCGCTTCACCGTGCACAAGAATCTGGGGGAGGGTCAAAGAAACGATTCAATATGGCGTCATGAATGCACAGTCTCACAACGATAAACACGGTAGCCTGTTAAGCTAGAATTTACTACTATTTCGCTAGTTTCCAGGATCCTCATTTTAACCTTTACTGTGTACAAAGCAGTTTTCAACAGACTTTCAAAATTTCAGTGTGATTGGCAGAGAGCAGGCAAATCTATCATCAACTTTTAATTCAGTAGTATTCAGGGCAAAATAATGGCCGTGCATACGTAACTGTCTCGTTCATATAACAAATGAGTAATCGTATGAAAGGTTGAGCAATTAAGGATTTACACTACTCGTGATATTTGAAAATTCTTTGAAATTGCACTCGCCTAAAGGCTTGCGTGATTTTGAAAGGAATTTTCAAATATCATTCGTAGTCAACTGCAGTCATACAATTACTTATACTTATCAATTGTGAGGGTATGTCGTGGTGAAAGGTCCGTTGTGGAGCGGGGGGGAGGGGGGTCTATCTGTAGACGAACTCACAAGATTCCTTGGATTCACAAGTGAAAGAATTCTCTTTATGGACTCGCCATCCGATCTTCCCTCAAAGTCGATATACAACATAGAACATCTGAAAACAGCAGAAACAAGTTTCTTAGAATTATATACAGCGAAAATACACGAAAAAAAAAGAAAAACGTTCGTTAGCTTGAAAAAATATAAAATAAAATTGCTCTCATTGCCTCCTATTAACTACCAATTAGTCTCTCATTACTCTTAAAATATCGGACAAAATGGAATGACGTACATTTGTTTTCCCTCTACGTTATTTGAACAGCCTGGAAAACAAGCGTCTGTTTGACAAATCCTCGTTATACCCGAAGAAGTTCCGACTCTTGTCGACCAATCGGTGAAAAAATGACCAATCTGATAATTTGTAGGAGACATTGCTATATGTAAGTAACAAGGACGAATCTTTTGACGTCATTCTGAAGTCAGAACTTTCAGATTGACGTGTTAGTTAATGATTGGACAATATGCCTCGGAAAATCTACGACTATGAACCCGAAAATTTGCCGAAATGGCAACTTTCCCTTGATTTTTTAACTTCTGGCTACCTTGTCAGCTTCTGGCAAAACGAGGGTTAAAAAAAAACTATTCCGTCTCACCTAAGATTGAGTTGTCTCTTCTCTGCCACACACTTTGTTGGCACCTTCGCCAGTTCTCCTTAANCTACCTTGTCAGCTTCTGGCAAAACGAGGGTTAAAAAAAAACTATTCCGTCTCACCTAAGATTGAGTTGTCTCTTCTCTGCCACACACTTTGTTGGCACCTTCGCCAGTTCTCCTTAAAAAAAAAAGTCAATGTTTGACCACATTTCCAAACATCTCGAAGTTCGTCAAAAATATTCCGCTACGCGTCGCATTTTCAACTCTCTTCTCTGTGTATGGAAAAGAGGTCAAACACGGTCTTTCGTGTTGATACATTACATAAAGACACCTACAAAGACAATTTGCTGACCATTCACTGACTCAATTCTCGATTCACTATTCTCTGACTTTTTACCGAGAACAAGTACTCAGAAACGACTGAACAAAGTGTCATAAGTAGAGCAAGACATGCACAGGCTTTTAGCCAAGATTTGAAAAGTCGCCGTCCAAAATGCGCTACAGGGCCTGCTCAAATGAACAATTTGTCAAGCAGTATATGAAAAATAAAACGATTTTTCTTTAAAAAGTGGCGGTCCACAGGACGCCTGGACGCCCATCTGGCTAAAAAAGCCTGGTCATGCAATACCTGTTGTTGAACCAAATAGGCCATTTCCAAGTTGCATTTTGCCTCTGTGTCAAAACGAGTCGAAACCATTCATATGGGAATGTGTCTCCTCTACAGGTTCATTTTCATGCATATCAAACTCATTTTCATGAAAGGTTTTTCACGAGGACTCGTTTTGAAACCGAGACACAAGTTAACTTGGAAATGGCCTATTTACTTTTGCGGATTGATGTGCTTCACTTTAAGCCAGTAAAGTTCATAAAGCGAGGAAAGTCAATTGGTTTAACAAAAGGTGATGCATGATTTAGAGCACTTTTAACATTCACCTATGAAGTACACTGTATATCCTGAACAAAGAACTGAAAGACCTTACAATGGCCTTTGACCTGTAACTCACCTTGTCCAGCGAGAGCCTCAGTATCCACGGTTTCTTTTTTATTTTGCTCCTGTTGAAAGATAAGTAGAAAGTAGCAGAAACCTGCATTAATCTTGAAAAGAGGGAACTTTATGAGCAACGGAATACGGGGCTAGTAAAGGGCGAGGGGAGAGTCAGGCGGCCTTTTGAAGCGGGGTGGGGTTAGGAGAGACTTTGGTTTAGCACTTTGGAAGGCATAACTTAGGGGAGCCGAGGCAATGAAAATCAACATGGAATAACCAAAAAAAAAAAAAACGGAAAAAACAAAATAAAACAAAACAAAAACCAAAACAAAAAGCTTCGCCACTCTTATTTCTGTTTGAGAGCTCTTGTTAAAAAAATTCTTAACATACACTGCAGGCAGTCCAGTTTGTTTTAGCACTTCTTTAGGGCCGTGAAATACTTCATATCAAGGATCTTCACAGGAAATGGTAAGCTCGATTTCCACTGCTCTCTCGCGTCTGGTCCCAAAGGGTCCTAAGGGTCCTCCCCAAGAAGAGCATAGGCTCATTTTTTTTAACAGCAGGTGGTAACCAAGCCTATACCAATTGTCGATCTTTTCCTAAAATGTGACCTCTCACGCGAAAACGTTCCTTACGGAATCCATTCGAACGACTGAACGCATAGCTAGTGAACGGATAAGAAACGGGTCCACAAACCGTTAAAAACGGGTACATTGAACGGTTGAAGAAGGAAAATTTTTGAACGGATGAGGTCGAACGGCTGAATGGTTGACGAAAAGTTTTGAAAGGCAGAAGTCGAACGGCTGAATGGCTGTAGTTTGTTTTTGAACGGCTGACTGTGAACAGATGAATAACAGCTAAAAACGTGTGCTAAAAGCGTCTATAATTAGACGTACATATAAGTAGAAGATTTATTATAAGTGTAACTCTGAGCTAACATAAAATGGACATTTCTCACCACTTTGGCCTTCTCTTCTTCAGCTGCCGCTAACTCTCTGACCATAAAATCTTCGGGTCTGTTTGAATCATAAGGTAAATTGGAAATTATGTCAGATAATCAGCAATGAGAGATCGTACAGACCCGGTAAAAATAATGAAAATCTGAAAGTAACGAAATGAAACATAAACTTGCTTGATATGAAACAACTTGTTAACATACTTGATAAACTCTCCGTAATCATCCCATTTAACTTTTTCTTCATGGCACGGAAACATGGGGTAAGATCTGGCCTGTTTGAAAAAACTGCTTTTACGACCACCCTGGAAAGAGAGAATAAAGAAAGTGTACATTTAAGGTTAGCAAAAGACCGAGATGCCCCAAAGTCATGCTATTTTCAATTATGCTACACATGGTTGTGAGTGGAAACCCAGGGGAAAACAAAAAAAAAAGTAAAAGCAAAAAAAAAAACAACAACAACAAAAAAAAACCAACAAAAAAAACCCAACAAAAACAAAACAAAACAAAACAAAACAAAACAAAACAAAACAAAACAAAACAAAACAAAACAAAACAAAACAAAACAAAACAAAACAAAAACACTCTTTGAAAGTGCTGAAGTGTTTAGCACTGCTGTATTTATTGGGGACACTGAAACAAGCAAACAAATATTGCAAAAGTGAACAGAAACTTGTTAAAAATCCCAACTGGTGGGAGGCTGACCAGTTGGCTATTTACAAAGTGTGGAGTTGAATCTGGGACCACCAAACACAAATCCATCTAGTGGCAAGGACGATGATTTGAACTTGGGACCTCCGGATCAAACATGCAGCACCCTTAAACACAAGGCCAAGCTGCCTTCTAAAAAAAGCGAAGTAAAGAGAACAAAAGAAAAGAGAAGCGAAAGAGAGGGAGACCACGTCACACCTGCAGGTGCACGAGAATGGCAGAGTTGGAGGAGAGAAGGCTTACAGGGTCAGGTGGCGAGCACTAGTTGAAGACCTATGTTCCATCAGGAAAGAAGAGGATTAAGAGAGTAAGTCACTCGTGGATGCCACCATGAAGTTTCGACATGTACCTTTTCATCAGCCATCATAAGATCATGTCTTACACCTCCTTCTAAATCTTCGTCACTGTCACTGTCACTCTCCTCTGCTACCAGCCGATGACTGAAATAAAGAAAAACAAATCAACAAACAAAATCAATATTACAAATTTGCAAATTGTAAGGGAGCTTTCCATGCTCGGATGCTCCCACAGAGAATAGTGCATTAACAGGCTTGTGCTGACAGAGTCCTAGAGGATCATGATCAAGAAATATGATATGACCAATTACTTATTCATTAAGGGTGGGGCCAGCAGACGAGAAAATACTTGGTTCTTAGTGCTCTCACAATGTTCTCCGGCGTTGTGTTCTATTCATATGCCATGACCTCAAGCCATATACTTTATGCTCTAGTAGCCCCCAATTATTACATCAGTTATATCATCTGCAAGTTAACCCTAAAATATACTGGCTTTGCAGTGTGCATGTATCTCCTGAGTGTAACAATACCATTCGATGATGGGGCCATGAGCTGCATACTTTTGTAAATAAAATTAGATGTGAAGACATTATAACTTGGTCAATTTGAGTGCTATGCAGCAATTAAGAAGAATTTTGTGACATTACAAATTAGTAGTGAAGTTCAAGATAGCAGGAAAAATAGTACGACAAGCATGATACAGATAAGACTGTGAATGCACCTGTACCTTCTGTCGGTTGCATCAGTCACTGGTCGGCTTTTCTCCTTCTCTTTTTCTTTTTCTAGATATCTCTCAAGCTCCTCTCCTTCCAGTCTAACTCTTGTTTTCACCTGAAATTAATGTTGATATTGTTACATGTACATTTGCATGCATATCCTAAAAAAGGTACCATTAAATGTGGTTAAATGTAATTTAAGCTAAGTTAAACACGAAACAATGCTGGTCAGCAGCCTTCCCCTGTTTTGGACATGCGCAGTGGTGTGGGGTCTGCTGGGGGTCGTGTGGTTTTACAGTGTGGCTTTTGAGGTCAACTCATTCTCACGTGCATTTGTGCTGTTTCGACTGTGCTTGGCGATTTAGCTCCCTGCCCTCCCTCCCTCGCTGGTAAGTATGAGGTAAGCATCATGGTTCCACTGTTTTTGCAGTGTGACGGTGCCTGGTGGTTGCTGCTCACAGGGTTGTCATGGTTGCCCTACAACTCGGCTCTTGTGCACAGGGTTGTCATGGTTACCCTACGCACTCGGCTCTTGTGCTCGAGGCTCCAGTATCTTTCCAGGCACCTTCCCCAAGCTCATCTATTGTTGATGAGTTTAATTGTTTTTATAAGCCCTGGAATAAGAGACATGTAAAAGAGTTCCAAAATGAGCCGATACCAAGAGAATTGAACCTAATTTTATACTTGTTGAATAATCACGATAATTTTCATGCTTCTTATTTGCTTGTTTGATAGTTTAATATAACAGTCAATTAGGATGATATCCACCCTCAGTCTTTATATGGACCATGTTGCAGGCAGGCATGGCGGCCTCTTGGTTAGTGCACTGGCAAGTGGGTAGCGGGAAATTTGATGATGGGGGTAACCATGTAACAGACAGCATCCCCTCAGGAGGCAAGGGAGTAACCAAATTAGTCCTTCTTGTTTTACGCTAAGGAAACCGAAGAAAAATGTGTAGACGTCTACACGATGGACCACTATGCGCAAATACAGACTTTATCGTAACCTATACTACATGTACACTGTTACCATACTGTAAATATCTTGGGCCCATAAAGCAGTTTTCATGCAAAAAATTGTGCCACATTGTTATCCAACCAGAAGTAAAGTCAAAACCAAATGATGACTAGCTTGCACACGTTTCCTGTGCTTCAAGGCAACATGTATTTGCTTGGAGTTTTGGTTGGTTCACAGGATTGTCTGCATCCTTCGTTATTAGCCACCCAGAGTACTTACCTTGGTTTTGGTTTTACAACACTTAATAGGAAACCCCTCTAATAGAATGACCTTTCAGTTGCAGTTTAGAAAATACATTTCTTCAACAAGACAGTGTGAGGGGCACACTTATGGAATAAGCTGGACTTTTACCAGCATGGCCCTGCACATACCATAAGATCTCATGTTAAAGCCATAGGCTTATATAAGTTCATAAGGGGTTTAGGGTGGCTAATAACTTGGGAGGGGGGGGGGACTTATATCCAGGGGGGGCATATAAGTGGAATTAAAATTTTTTTTTTCGGAATGACGAGATAAAACATATCTGACAAATGAATTAAAGCTAACATACCATTACATTTAGAGCTATTACCCTATTAGCCTATAACTTTCGATTACAATTGGATGATTTTGATTTTGATCAAATCTGATGTTTGAAACGAAATACAAAAAGGAAAGCACTTACACATTAGATGGGCTTATATCCTGGGGGGGGCTTATATCCAGAACAATATCTTTGTCAGTAAATAGAAGGGCTTAAGCCTTATATATCCGGGGGCTTTAATGCGGGATATTATGATATAATGCTTTATCAAGTACAGCTGTACATGTATTTTAGAAACTACAATGTCCTCTTACACATGTACCTCTATGTCTATCGTCTTTTGCTGTAAGTTGTCAATCAAAGTGCGAGCCAGTGCCCCAGGTGAAGGACGGCAGGTGAACACAACTGTATTTTTAGGATCCTCTGCCCATTTGATAAACAGCTCCCGTGAAAAGCCACAAGTCAAATCTGCAACTGATGCCAGGACAATTTTAGGTTCAGGGACCCTAGCAAGGTCTGCCAAGCTGTGACACAAAGAACAGTGCCTTCAAAAAGAACAAATGATCAGTCAACAAAAGAACAAGTGATCAGCTGTGTGCAACTTACAACTTGCGACTACTCAAACTGGGCCACCTAGAAGAAAACTAACCAATCAAAATGTACATGTACATGCAAGAACAATGGACTAGTAGCTTTCTCATGATGGCAAGTAAAAAGGGTCTGTTTAACATGAATACATAAGTACTACTGACTTCTCTGCATTATACACACTTGCAGATATTCAGTCCTTGACTGTGAACTATCATAATTATAAATCGTTTGAAAAATTACCTTGCAAACTCATTTTGTGATGACTAAACTGAAACCGTTGAAAGCGTACAAACTTTGGGATCAAAACAGGTCAATTGACAAATGGCAAAGACTCCTGAGAGGTTCGCAGCACTTTGCACCTTGTTGGGTTTTCAGAACTATTGTTCGTATTCTTCAATGTTATTGGTTTATTTGAGAAAAAGATCCTTATCCTTTGTTCATACGTAACATTCTGATTGGTTAACTCTTTTCAAAGTGGCCTGGTTCGAGCAGTTGCACTGTAATACCACTTCATAAAAGAGTGATAATAACAGCATATCAAACAAGGCATCGATCAGTTAACAGAAACATCTGGACAGTAATCAGTTAAAACACAACATGCTTTCAACAATTATGAATTTTGATATCTTCTTTATTATATGTAAAAATAACTTCATTGTGTTCGGCTAAGACCAGGCCAATTTACTGTAAATTTTTAACTTGCATGGTGGTGCAAATCAGTGTACATGAATTGGTATAAATTATGTCCCTGTCATGTAAATTAAGACTACGTTCCATAATCAGTTTTGAGATAGTTTTGACGAAGAGAAATAAACTAAATCACTTAAGAGAATCACAAGATTCATAGGTAAAAATAATGGATAAATTCACTTATTTTTAATCCATGTTGTTCTTGGTGTCCCTGTTGTGGTTACCTCAATGACTAATTACTTTTGCATCCTCAAGTTTTGACTTTAAGTTGTACAAACCTAAACTGATAAGGATTCATCCTACCAACTTCAAATGACTTCATAACTTTGTCACTCATCCACTCCACCTGAAGAGAACAGAAAAAAATGAAATCGTTTCATAAGAAATACTTTACTACGGCTGTAAGCACTTTATCTTAATGGGAAAGTTTCACAGTTCGACGCATGTCTGTATTATTTATTCACCTGTGCACGCTTTTTGGCACAAGCCCAGTTTTTCACTGTTTATGAACCAATCATAAGCAAGTTAAAATCACCAACTGTAAAATAAATCATGTGGGTCAACACTAAATTCAACGGTCAACAGTGTTGGTAAAATCCTGTGAAATCTTCTGAGAATTCTGATCATCCGTCATTCTGCCACGACTAACTATAGCACGTGATTACTTAACTACATCTGAGTGGGGTTTTCAAAGCGATAACAGTGATAACAAGGAAACAAGAGTATTTGGATTTAAAGACATGCGCTGAACCATGAAACCCACCCTTTAAAACGGCTACTCATTGGTAAGCCAACCTTTCAATCCCAATCAAGGTAAAGTCTGTGTCAGGCCAGTGGCCCATACACCTGGGGCATACCCCAGTTTCTGTTGCATGAAGTGACTGAGAGTATTTCTACTCCCCTTTGTATGGGGTGCTAGTACATCACAGTGTTACCCCCCAACATTAAATTCGTCAGTATCCACACTGTCAGGGCAGGACAAAAAAGTTTGAAATTCACTTGCCCAGTGGGCCAGTAAATTCTAGTTTTCAGTTGCCCCCACTTAAATGTTACTTGCTGACATGGTGGCCAGTATGGCGATCAGAAGACAAACATGAACAAGTATTGGATTCCTAACTAATCCATGCTTTCAACCTAATGGTTAGCTAATCCTGCAGTCTTCAGTTTTAAAATCGCTTCTAACTGGGAATTCTCATTTATCAAGCTGACATTTTTATTCAGACTTACAAGACTACTGAGGCTAATTTCACTTGCCCACTGGGCCACTGAACTTCCATTTTTACCTGCCTGAGAGCAAAATCTACTTGCCCTGGCCAATTGGACTTGACTTTCTCCCTGCCCTACAAATGTCACTGTATGCCTCAGTAGAAAGAGGCACTGTGAGAGTAAAGACTTGTGTGTATGAGTTCTGGCAAGGTGTTAGACAACCTAATTTCATAGGGGTTACTTGCAAAGGACTAACATCTCATCTTGGGGTGGAGTAGCAATTTGTCTAGCTCCTTCATGTTATAGAAATAAGGTAAACACATACCAATACAAGTACGTGCATATGCAGGGCTTGAAAAAAACTTGACATCCAGCTTGCCCTTGGAACAAGTGGTTCTCAAAATAATTTTGCTTTCCCTCGACAAGTCTTAGGTTGCTCTTTTACTGATTTAGTTGGCAGATGATTTGCTTGATCTTTTGCTTATTGGGCAAGTGAGAACAAAAAGTTACTTGCCCAGAAGGAAAAGAAGGGAAATCTACTTGTCCGCGGAAAATGGGATGGCACCTTTTTCAAGCCCTGTACATGTACTGCACCTGGTCGAAATTTACTTGCCATCTAAACTTACTTGTGACTTAGCAAATTCCACCACATTGTAGCTGACGTTGTTAAGCATTGCAAGGGAGTACGCTGATAATCCTGAATCAGGGTTGCGCCATAACTGATCCTATATTGTGATCGAACAATTAAAACACCAGTCCAAACTTACAGGAATATGGTATAACTTACCTAGCAACAATGGATTCTCAAGAGTGACAGTCACAGTTCACAGACACGACTGACAACACTCATCATACTTCAGAGGCACAACAAACTAAGAGAAACCATCTTGCGAAAATGCTTTGAACTACTTAACATAATGAGTCATCTTGCAGTAGAGTATGCCAGAAAATTTAACTGTAGACATTTTTATGCTTTACCAAGAGTTGAGATAACTCAAGAACTCTTCCAGCAGTATCCACGACAATCAGTACATTGCCATCCCTCCTAGCTGTTTGCAACATCTCATCTAAGCAAATACCAAGTAGCAAAAACACAATGATGTACATGTAACTTTGGGTACACAGCTTCGTCTTGGAAATTGTGTAAATTGTTTATATTGTCTTCTACTGTACATAACTCAAAGGATACAGGAAGATGAACATGATACAAGTTACAGGTGACAGACATTAGCCTTTTTTCAAGTTGTCTTCAAAAAGATATCACCTATAATTAGTGATTGCTTGTCTACTCTTAATTAACAGCTTTGATAGCCTGAGGTGATCGGGCTAGTGAACTGTATTGGGGAAGTGATGTTTTCTTACTTTTTTTTGNGGGGAAAGGGGAGGGTTTAAAATTTCAGAAAATTTAATTTACACCCAGACTTAAAACCTAGACTAGTTAAAATGACTGTCAGCTACAACTCTGGTACCTCGTGCCTGAAGTTATGTCATCTTTAATTTTTCTGAATTTACTTGTATCATAAATATTTCTTGGTAAATTAGCCTGCTTAATTGCTAGAGGCCTAATCATCCTCGTCAACCTGAGGATAAATAAAGTTGTGTTTGTATGTAGGCATGAACTGTATGTAGTACATGTATCTACACTATTACTAGTCACCTACCCTTTGATAGACGTCTCATCAAACAATCTGGAAGAGCCACGATTTACATACATGCACACCAGTTGAACTTAAAACTACTTAAGCAGTGCTTGAAATAAAAAAAAAAATCCTGGTTGTCCATTTATCAATGCCAGACAATGAGACCTCTAAATTTGGTTGCCCTGATGAATCCAGGTTGTTCATTAACAACAACATGTACTCGTCATATCCTAAGTGTTTCACATGTGGCAAAGTGTAAATCATGTTTTTCAAGAACAAGAATAAGTGAGCCGATTCTCAATGTAAAAACAAACACCATTGGCTTCCTAAAAGAATATTATTTCTTGTTGAACTACAAGTAGAAGTATTAAATAAAATATTTTCGAAGAAATACATGTAAAGGACAGTTGCTCTTTTGGAATACTTAGCAATCAAACAAAATTGTTTCACATTGTGGTTTTTTTTGCTCAGAAGTATTAATCACTATGATTCAAAGCTTACTGTTACATGTATGTCACAATTATAATAATATTAACTACACAATAAAAAGCTCAGTTTCTGCTTAGGGCAGAAAACAGCTACAATGTAATAAACATCTGAAAAATTGATAGCAACATCTACAATCAGCTGGCTTAGTACCATACATCATATCCTTGCATACATGTAAGTAGAATTCCTTGTTGTAAAATAACTATTCCTTGTGTGCATGTTCACAGATGTATTAATGAGTTGGATTTGTCGATAATGACAACCTAACACTGTAGTCATTAGACAAATCCACTTCATTAAGACACCTCATAGCAAAATCCAGTCTCAGCTGGCTTAGTGTAACACCTGGTATTCTTGCAGAAGTAGACTGTCTTGTAGTGAAATAACTATTCTTCATGTGCGTGAATATATATGAATCAATGAGTTGGATTTGTCTATAATGACAACCCAACACTGTTGTCATTAGACAAATCCACTTCACTGACACACCTTTAAATCACAACCCAGCAATGATACAATTGTGATAAACAGCTTAAAACTTGATAGCAAAGTCCACAAGAAGCTGGCTTAGTGCCATACCTGATATTCTCACAGAAGTAGAAGGTCTTGTTGCAAATTTATGTGCATGGATCTATATATATAGACAGCTAGTATTGTGAAAGCACGTGTGACTTCAAGGGAACTCTATATAAACCAACTAATTAACTTTGTCATCTAGATCCTGATGAGTGGGAAACACTCCCACAAAACAGTTCTGTGGATGGAATAAAATGAACAAGAACTAGTCACATCCACTTTCTTTATAATTGTATACATGTATGTATCAATAAGTTGAATTTCTATCATGACAACCCAAAACTGCAGTCATTTGGGAAATCCACTTCACGGAGACACCTTTAAACCATGACACCAACGTCAATAGAATAATTGCTAGTAATAAATAGCTTAAAACTTGAAAAGAGTAACAGAATTGTGATAAACATTATTTTGAAAATTTGATAGCAAAATCCAGTCTCAGCTGGCTCAGGGTAACACCTGATATTCTACCATAAGTAGACTGTCTTGTCGTAAAATAACTATTATATTCATGTGCGTGAAGATATATGAATCAATGAGTTGGATTTGTCGATAATGACAACCCAAAACTGTTGTCATTAGACAAATCTACTTCACTGACACACCTTTTAATCACAACACAACATTAACAGAATAGGACAATTGTAATAAACAGCTTATAAAACTTGAAAGCAGAAACAGAATTGTGATAAACATTTGAAAATTTGATAGCAAAATCCAGTCTCAGCTGGCTTAGTGTAATGCCTGATATTCTTACAGAAGCAGAAAGCCTTGTTACAAATTTATGTGCATGGATCTAAATCATACCTGTACATTGTAAATTGATGTATCAATATGTTGAATTTCTATCATGACAGCCCAACACCGCAGTCATTACAGAAATCCACTCCACTGAGACACCTTCAATACCATCCGTTGCGATGGTCAATGTGTAGTGCTTGAATGAGTAAATAATCACTTGCTTGTGATTGAACATGACCAAAACTACACATCCTCTGTTGTCTTAGCCCCCTTCCATAAACCAGGGGGAGGCGAGGGGGCACTTATCAGAGGGGAGGCACTTATTTTAAAGGGGTGCTTATTCGAAGGAGCTGCTCATTTGAGGGGGAGGCGCTAATTCCGGGATTTACGGTATTCTTGCAGAAGTACAATGAGATAGTTACATGAAATGAATACAAATAATTACATTACTTACATGTACAATACGATGGTGTCCATACGATATGGAACTTACATTACTTACTGTACTTATTAAAACTTATTTACTTATTTATTTGTATAATCTAAAACACATACCAGCAACTTTAGGCAAGCAAAATACATGAAACAAAGTGAGAAAACAACACATGAAAATAAAACATCGTTGGTTTGAGCTCCCGCAGCATTGACTGCTAATTTAAGTGAATGCGTGAGCTTCTTAGCCATGAGTGAAAATTTGTATATGGTCCCCTCAATGTTTGTTTGTGCATGAAATGATGTCCAAGTAACTTTTTCAAGCTCCTGAATGTAGTTTCATTGAGCAATAGCGTACAGATTTGCATTTTAGATGAATTACATGCCTAGTCTTTTTTCATATCTGCAGTGTATTGCATATGTACATGTAAATATTTAAAACATGGATTAATGGTTAAATTATATGTAACTACAGTACATGTATATGGTACCATCATCAACAACCGAGATGTCACCCAAGTCAGGGGTTGTTTCGGATTAATTTGGAGCCCCGGGCTGTCCATCGATTTCTCCTCGGGCAACCAGACTCTCAATTATTTTCAGTAAGAAAATTAAGGTTGCCTGGTGAACTTTTTGGTCAGCTCAGATGGACAACCACTAATTTCAAGCACTGCTCAAGGTGAAGGTTTCTCCTGTATGCACATTGTATGCCCATTGCATGCAAAACTTACTCATAAGCTGGGTGTCTCTTTCTCGTCTTCTAGCTTGCACATTAAGTGCATTAAAGCTGTCTGTTATAAGTAAAGAGGGTCTGCTAAGAGTTTCTAAAACTGCTCCATTCAGATGTCTGGTAAACAATAACGACAAAAATAAGCGTGATTGTTGTGCAATGCAATCTCAGTACAACAAGAATTGAAGATTTCAAACGTCTGGGTACATGTATTGCAATGAAAACCTTGTTGAGCATTGCAACCTCACTTGTTTATTACAGTGTATAATGAGATTTTGACCTTGAACTCAACTTCCCAAATTGTTATATTCTTTATGATGAAAGGACTACACCAGAAATTCCAACCTAAAAAAACTGGTATCTGGGAGATCACCAATTTTACCTTCTCAACAAGGGAACCTCAAAATAAAGATATTCTAAGGTAGAACAACACCACAGAAGTATTAAATAAATCAAAACTAGACAAGAAAAGAAATGACAGAGGAGGATTAAGACAGGCACAAACAGCAAAATTGAAACTGCTCACTAATACATGTCGGCCATTTCCTTGTGCCTCTGTTTCATAACAAGTCTTCATGCAAAACCTTTCTTTTTAAAATGAGTTTGATTTGCATGAAAATAAACTGTAGACCGAACTCATTGTCATATAAATGTTTTCACAAAAAGACTTGTTTTGACACATGGACACACTTGAAAATGGCCTTTAATTTATAAGTTTCTCCTACATGTACCTTTCCTTCTTGTGATTGTAATCCACAGCATAAATTATGTCCTCTTCTCCATCTTTGACAATTTTCCACATGGTTCCTCCAATCATGTGACCAGCAGCATAAGGTGTGATTGTTAGACCATGCCCTTTTCCTTTGAATTTATAACAGTGTGATTCAAAACAGAATAATTAAGTAGACTTACTAAACACTTCACAAAAAAGGCATGATGATGACTTAAAGTGTATCGCTTGCTGTGACTGTTCAAGATCAAGAGTCTGAGATTCTCAAGTCCCCTTCCATCAGAATTTACAGCAATTGTCAAAGAGTGTGAAGTTTGGCAACATTAATGCTTGGATATTGTTGCTGCATGGTTGCATGTTTGCTTTACAACAGGCTATTAAAGTCTCGTGCGGTGGTACTAATAGTTTTTTAAAGCTTGCAAGACAAATGTCTCATCTCACAATACAAGAGTCTTGTCTCTTGACAAGAGAGTCTTATCTCTCGAGACCAAAATCTCATCTCGCGAGAGGATGGCAACTTACTGTACCTTTCTGTGGTACTGAGCGTGAGACAAATTAAATCTGCATTATCAGCACCTCTCTCCACCAACATGCATCTTGATTTTATAAATTGCTTTTCCCTCTCTGTTCCCAGATATTATCATGCTTTTGTTACCTACAATACAAGTGTAACTAATTTTTTTTCATCATAAGTTTCAGAAATCACATGTTCCTTGACTACTACTAAACCTACATGCAAGCAGAATACCAATAGTTTTGTTGTCGACTGTAAATGTTTTTCTTGCATAATAATGGTACAGATCTTAGGACAGTTTCCACTAGAACATCAAAAAGTAATTGGTTTTGCATTACTACATGTACACTACAAGGTTGGCTTAAAATACTCATGCCACTTTTTTTATCCAATCAAATAACAAAAAAACGAAAACCAAAACCACTTGTGACTAGCTTGCACGTGCTTTCCCGTACTACGTGTCAGCTACATGTGTTTTCTTCGAATTTTGATTGGTTCGTTTGATTGCTTTTGTCCTTTGTGACTGGCTAAAGTGATTACTTTGGTTTTGGTTTAAAGACACTCAGTTGAAAACTGCTCTACGGTGTAGCTGTACCTACATGTATTCATAGATGATCTCTATGTTACTACTTACCTTTCAAGCTGACATTCTGAGAATATTTTAACTGAATGATTTTATCGAAAACAGCGTCAACATCATCCAGACTGAACACATCAAAGTCTTCATAGTTTTGATGAGACTGCAACAACACAAAGAAATCATTTAACACAAAATATGTCCCTACAATATGGGTCCAGTGGAACTGTACACTGCCGATCATACAGGGGTTTTGTTAAGGACCAGGCATGCACCGGGCAAATTGACTGCCTATGAACAGACCTGTGCCTGCCTGTTTCATAATATTTTACACAATAATACTGTTCCTGTCTTTTACAGAAGACTCTCTAACAGTCTTCTAAAAAGTTGAGCTTATTTTAAGTCAAAGAAACAAGAATTTCGCTGGTTGTAGTACGCATTATCTACCTTGTATCTCCAAATTGCAGTGCAAATTCGCAAATCAATGCACTGCGAAAACAAATGATCTCCATGAGAGCTCACTTAAAATATGTCAAAATTACGAGCAAATCCACCTGTAATGATGGATTCGAATTATGGTTTAGTTATATGCACAATGATCCCTTGTAGGCAACTGAGTGTCACGTCAATTGCAGATTTTCAAACTTTTCCAGGGGGGGGGGGGACCCCAAGCTTGGCAAGGCTCCTACGGGCCTTGTGGGATTTTACTGCCCAGATGTCATATCCTGATACCCTTCTGTTTAGAACATTACTGAAATCCCTGCTTACAACACAATGATTTTAATGATCATGGTTTTCTAATTCACAATGTTGACCACAACGAACATGTACATGTACATACCTGATATAGATCGTACATGAACATCTGTCCCATCTTGTACACAGGAATAGTAGCATAGATAGGACAGTGAAGGCCGCACTTGCCTACTAAGTATGGCAGTGCACCCATGTGGTATATATCGGGAAATGTAATCAATACAGCATCTATTTGGTGTATGTGTCTAAGGAGAGAATGTTTCAGTTAATTTGTTTGCAAAATAGAGGTCGTAAAGACAGATTACTTGAACTACAGTGTACAAGCATATTATAGTCAAGGTTCTTGCCTCAGTTAAAAATTGGAATTAAAGTCAGCTATTACTCTTACATGCAAGGCTGTGTGTGGGAGTGGGGTGGGGAGGATTTTTACAATACAATGGAACCTCTATTTAACGAAGTCCTCGATATAACAAACAATATTCTATGTCCCGGCCAAAGTTACAGTAAAATGTATGGAACAGAACCTCGATGCAACAATCCTCGATATAATGAATTCTTCGATATAACGAACATAATCCGGAAGCCCAAACATAAAATCTACCTCGATAAAAAGAATTACAATGTCAACATGCGACAGAAGATAAACGCCAAGCAGATCAACAGTCAACAAATCCTTGTAATCCTAATGGTAAAGAGACAGCAGCCTTTCAGTCAACGGCTTATTATATGTCATAGACATTGGCACTATAGTATTTTGACATCAATTAACTTCTGCTCTAACTTCTTTGAAATCCAGAAATGTTGTGTAGTGCAACATAACAACACTAAAGCCTGTTTCCTTGTTAGCATAGACACCTTTCTGTATAACCTCTCTGTTACAACATTTTTAAATCGCTACTCTGAAAGTGTTGTTTTTTTGTAAACAAAAGCTGCTCGTCTCTTCAAAAGTGAAAATAATTGATACTGAAAGCCACCATGCTTAACGAATTGCATCTCAAAACACGGCACTTCTGGGTGACAGAAATGGCATTGAATTGCGTGACAGAAGTCACCTGTGTTACAAATCAATCATTAACTATGACCTCGATATAACGAACATTTGGCTTGTTTCCCCTCAAATTGGTTATATCAAGGTTTTCGATATAACGAACCCTCGATTTAACGAACAAATTTGGCCGGTCCTCAGCGACTTCGTTGAATTGAGGTTCCACTGTAGAACAAAATGTAGGTACATAATTACAAGATTATTTAAGTAAAATATAATTTTACGATCATGTTGGTTGGTAAGCTTCCTTTTTGCCTGGAGTAGGACTGTTTTAGGGTGAAGTCTTTCTTAAGAGAACTAAATATTTACCAATGTACAAGTTCTATACATCTGTATACTACATTACTTCATATATTTTAGTAGACATATTATACGTCCAAATTCTCTCATAGCTAGTAAAAACACTTAAGTGTTGAGCTTTAAAATCTAGTTTAAATGGACCAAGGGACAGATAAGCTTAATAAGGTTCATAAAATGCGACTCACTTTTTTATTGGCTCCATGATCTCTGCGCTAAATGACTCGTTCCAACCACAATCCAGCAAGAACCGGAATTCATCGACTTGAAGCAGATAACATAGAGGCCCCTCATCATAAGCGCCAGATAACACAGTCAGCTTGATAATGGACGTCATCTTTCTCGAGTGGCTGCTCCCCAAGCACTCAGTTACAATAATTCAAGAACAACAGACATTTTGCCGAACATTCCATCCACATCGTGCTGCCGCCATCTTCCTTTTCTCCCACAAGTCAATGCAAGTACAAAAAGTTCACACTGCATTGTGGGGTACCCCTGCCTATGCCGCGGTCACGGGGAGGGGAGGGGCTGGGAATGCGAAGAACCTGAACACCATAACACCTACGGTGGTAATTTGGATGCCACCCTTTTTATCATTCAGTCACCTTTTTACCAATTTTACATATTAGCGCCTTTTTTGATATGTTTTAATTGTGTTACTAATTCAGTAGTCGCGTACGTAAATGTGTTTTGAAAGTAAATGCAAATGAGGTTGTTCTTTATCAATAATATCATGTTATCTTCATTGTAGTACTTGATAGCTTGGTATTTTTATTCAAATACGGAGTTACTAATAATGCGTGACCGAAATTGCAAATGCGTGACGGAAACGACGAGCCGCCATCCGTCACCAATAGGGTACCTCGCTTCAAGAGAGGCGCTGTTTTGGAGTTCACGGAATGTTTTATTCAGGAAGGCAGTGGAGCAAGGACGTGTTGTTCAACATGTACGCCATAGTCACAGGAGGAACCAGGAGTCTTGGCTACTGCGTGGCTGAGGAGTTAGCGAAGGATGGCTATACACATATCATCCTCACCTACAACTCGAACACGGAACGCGCGGAAAAATCGAAGAAGGCCCTAGAGGAAAACTATGGAATCTCAGTGTTCCTTGCGAAAGGCGACTTAGCTCAGCCTGAGGCCGTCGATGCGATCTTTGACTGCGTGGAGAAGAATTTTGGAAACAAGCTCAACGCTCTCGTAAGCAACGCTGGAGCCGTCGTGGGTGTGACATCGACACCAGAGAGCGAAGCAGCGAAAAAGGCAGCCGGAAGTTACCACAAAACCATCGGCTCTGGCGAATTTGACGATTTTTCCGCTTACGACTACTTGCAGGATATATATCCCAAGTGTTTCATTCGACTGGTGGAAAGATCGATCAAAATCATGGAGGATGGTAAAGGGTACATCTTGGCAGTGTCGGCCCCGGGCGCCAATATCACGGCGACAGCTAGTAATGTAGCATACGCTGTCCCAAACCTTGCCAAAGGTGGCTTAGAATTATTGGTAAGGTAGAAATAATAACGAAATAATAGATACTTGAATTGCAGAACCATAAATTAGTATATTGTAGAATGGGGCCTGAGTCGATAGGATCTATTGATATTCAGTGAGATGCGCATACAAATGAGGTGTGTAGCTAGGCCGCGATGAATTAATTTTCGCTGCACCCGTAGTGGACGTAGTGGTGCAATCTGGCAAGTATATCGATCTGTACCTTGAAAAATAGGGAGGCACGATGGCCTCATGCTTACTGTCCTCGTCTCCGGATCGAGGAGCGGTCTGGTTTCGAGCCCTGGTCAGGGCAGGGTCACTGTGTTGTGCACTTGGGCAAGACAATTTACTCTCACAATGCCTCTCTCCACCCAGGTGTACATATAAATGAGTACCGGTGACCTTAATGCTGGGGGTAACCTTGCGATGGACTAGCATCCCATCCAGGGCGGAGTAGAAATACTCCTAATCGCTTGATGCTACGGAAACCGGGATAAGCTCCGGCCTGATGGGCCACTTAGCTCTTATGCAGACTTTACCTTTTACCAGGTTCCTTGAAAAACAGGTACCGATATTTTTGGCTACTTTCTTTTCACGAGTATTTTGCATATTATGCATATTATGCATGTTATGCAAAACATGAGTATAAATAAAAAGGACGCACTCAACCAGTCACGCTGCTATCGTAAACTTTTTGGTGTTAATCTGCTGACCAGTGGACCGCTAATTTTGCGGTCACTTGAGCTGTCGCTTTAATTTTTTTCTTTTTGTCTCTGTTTGATGAGTTGCCGAGTTACACATGCACATGTAGCACGAATATTTCTTTCTGTCACGCACACTGTGACAAATTAAGCACGGCCGCTGATCAACCAGTTTATTACAGTGACGTCCGTTTGTTTTAAAACTCTTATTCTATCGTTACAGGTGCGATATTACGCTCGAGCCCTGGCCCCTAGAGGAATCACCGTCAATGCTGTCGTCCCTAACTTTATCATGTCTGAGAGTTGGCATCACTTGACAGCAAGCATGGGCGGCGTTGAAAGCGATGCTACAAAAGCTATGATCCAGGAAACTCCCATGAAGCGATTCGGGGAAGGTCGCGAGTTTGCTCACGTGGTTTCGTTTCTGTGCTCACCCAAGGCATCGTTCATCACAGGGGTGTCCCTGCCAGTTGACGGAGGGTTCCATCTCAAGTAAATTCGATTGGGTTCAAAACGCAGTTTAGGATTGTTATCACTCCTTAGGCGTACTGATTATTTTATACAGTATTACCTAATATTTATTCGCTTACAAAACACCAGGATAGGAGTCTTGAAAGTATCACAAAGATATGTGTAATGCGACAAAGCCATTATATGAAGGCCGCCTGTCAACTTATCCTGGTATTATATATTATATAGGCGAATCTTTGCTGACGTCATTGTTTACATTTTTCCTCATTAACATACGACTTTGCGCATAGAAGGCATCATGCTAGACACCATTTTACTAGAAAAACTTAAAGAGCTTGTGAAACTTAGTAAGTGGTGAAATTCTTGGCTCTTTGGACGTAGTATTCGAGGAGAAATTGGCTTTCAAAAACATCAAAATTTCTGTGTGGCAAAAGCGCTAATGAGCTCATACATGTCGTAATTTGAGAATTGGAATCTAATTGAAAACCGTTTCACTAGGAATGCTAGCAATGCCACAAAGTAGAAATTACAATGAGGTACCTGACCGGAGAGTTTGCCTTTATTTCTGCCATAATATGCACAACCTTTTTCAATTTTAGTATGTTTTGTTTCTCTTAAAAGGGTGAGGGAGTAACTAGTCACCCAATATACCCCCCTCACAAATCCGCCCCTGCTATGATCTCTTGGTTGAATGAAATTAAATGTTACGTTGTGCTGGCTTTGCTTACTTTTCGTGTATATCTTCAGCCAACTTGATCTTTAATCTCTGATCCAATTAATGTACACCAGCAGAATTATTGTCCAAGGCTGCTTACTACTTCTTCTTTTCCCACAAACTGTCCGAAAGGGGTTAAAGATAACTAAACAAGGCAGTTCAGTTTACTTGAATATTCATTTATCTGGTAATAAAGTTCATTACAAAGTATAACAGCTTAGCTTGTTACAAAGTGCGTACAGCTATAGCTATTTCATGTTACATTGTACTACAACGTAGAGCAAGTGATGTGAAAGATGAAATCTTCAGCATGAGACAATGAGACAACGAAAATATCCGAGACCTCCGACTTCCCAAACACCAATTGTTGTTTGTTGTTGCTACATGTAAGTGCATCAGGTATTGCAATGTGTGACAGTTGTTACAGCAATGTCACGCTGACTATTCCCCTATATAAAACTCGAACTTAAAGTCTAATTTATATTGTATGAGCTAATTGTTATATTATGTTGCTCCTTTTTTCTCATCACTTCCCCCACCACCCCCAACACCACAACCAGAAACAACACATTCATTAATTTTCTTTAACGCCCCTTTGTTTGGCAATACACCACCAATAATCGAGTTGTACCGACTAGCAACATAAAAATCCTAAAAAAAAATTACTTTTTAAATTTTGGCAGTTTCAAGAGCTGAAGATAATAGAGCCTCCGAATGGATTTCCAAATAGCTTAAATTACACGGCACACTTTGCTGGAACGCAGTATGAAAAAGGCCATTCACTTGCAAACGGGTTAATCCCAGTAGTAAAGATGTCACATCACATCTGTATTAGGTGAGAGGCTGCAAGCTTTTAAAAAAGTACTCGCGATACTGGGACGGAACAGGATTTTAGAGAAGGCTGTCTCCTGTAAATAGGAGCATCCTCCCCTGAAAAATTATTGAAATTGAGGTCCTCGGAAATGGGATGTCCGGCATTCTGAGGCCAAAGTCAGTGTGTTGTGATGTCTCATTGTTTTTTTGAAAAAATCAGGAGTTTCGACCGAGCACCCCTCGATCCGCCCTAGTGATAATGTACTCCTTATTGACGCCTTTCCTGATCATCGTTTGAGAAAAAAAGAAGCAATGTTTCTATCGAAGATTGGCAATTGCACTGAAAAGAGTTAACAGTCTTTTTTTGAAAATTAAAGGCCTTTAATTCCCCAAAATTTAAACGTAACTTAAAAACTAAAAATAAAATACTCCGAGGATTATCAAAACAACTAAAACAAAGTTGCCGAAAAATGAGATACAAGGCCGCGAGAGAACTAAAGAAGGGTTAGCCTTGCAATAAACCATCCATCCTCTAGCGACCTCATATCTTGTTTACCGCCATTATATCGCCATTGCGCTGGTAGTTGTGCAAGCAAGTTAGATTTTGTCACTACTACGATATCACGACTTGTCTTAGTCATGTGGAGTGGAGACCTTTAGCATTTCCACACTGTCTTCTTTGCCGGCAAGGTTCTTGCGAGAATGACTGCAAAAGTGGTTGTAAAGTTTAAAGAACAACACCAGTAAAACGATATGGAACAACACGCCGACAGAACTACAACAGGCAGCTATTGTTGAGAATGCCTCAACCAATGTGACTTTATCGCTCGATTGTTGTTTCTCATTCGCCGAAGACTTCCTTTCACAATCTTCCAATCTCTTTTCACCACTCATTCGACTTTCTTCCAAGTACTGTTCGAACTCCTGATGGCCAATGTCATAACTTTGGCAGGTCGGGAACCCTCGAGGGACGGGCGGATGGTCTTCGTAGGAAACGTTAAAAACTAACGCCATTCCTTCAATCATGTGCAGCATGGAGTGACAGTGGAATAGCCAATAGCCTGGATTGTCTGTTCGAAAACGAACGACGGTGTAACCCATTGCTGGTACTAGCAACGTGTCCTTGAGAGGTGGTTTGTCAAAATTGAGCCCAGTGGCTCTTCCAGAAGTCCAGTAAGGGTGACTGCAAGTCTTATCTTCCCGCCAGTTACAGGTCAGGTCCTTATTTCCTCTAAGTATCTGTCTTGTAATGTTATCTACCACAGGATAGGCAGTCTTCAGGACTCGAAAACTGTAACCGTGAAGGTGCATTGGGTGGTGGGCCTTGCTTTCGCTTCCAAAGACTGTACCTTCTTGAAAACCCCCGAAAATATCCGACATTAAAACGAGTTGTACGGTTTTATTGCCAGGAAGGTTGACCACATTCGAACACCGGCATCCAGCTTTCGCGCAGTCCTGCGTGCAAGGAACAAGTTGCCATGTGGAAGGTTCTTGGAAAAGTGGTACATGTGGCATCACCATTCTGCGACTGTTTATGGAAGATCCAATGGGAAAGCCTATGTTTAAGAAGAGTTCTACATCGACCTCTTCGTTTTCTAGGGAAATGTCGCCCTCGTAACGGGAGCTATCTAGGCGAAGCTCCGACACTGGGATGCACTGCACGTTGGGAAACAGATCCTGGCGATAGGCGGACCATGGACAGTTTAGAATTTTGCAAGGAGCTTCAGAAGTGCAGTTTCTTCTTCTGCTCTATGGATCAGCTTCTTTGTTGTCTCTCGTCTCATCATAGTGTAAAATTGCCTTTGCGTCCCAAATGACACCGTCAGGCTGAGGGTCTTCATGGCCTCGTCCCATTCGCAGTGTCAACGCACGAATCCAATATCTTCCTGGATTTTGATTGGCTTCGAGCTCTACTACGTACGTTTCCCCGGGGAAAACTATCACAGATTCAAATGTTGCAGGTTCCACTGGATGACCGTCACTCTCAATAACTGTCAACTCGTGTCTGTCGATTGAGACTCGGTAAGCGAACTCTCCCGAAGCCATCACGATGTGAAATCGATATTTTTTCCCTCGAGTGACGTTGAAAACTGTGAGAGGGGCGGCATTATCTCCCTTTCGACCACGACCGTTTATAAGTCCCGACCAGTAGCCCATGGAGCTCAGCTCTACGCCATCCATTGAAACGCCTTTTTGCTCAGCAGAGAGATAAAGTGACTCCGCATTTCCACCACGCGCATTCCTAAAGGGACTTAGTAAATCGATTTCTGTGGAGGAAAGCGGAAACCAGTCGTTTATCAGCAGCGGGAAGTGAGGCGGCACCATTCCTTTTTCTTTGAATCTACGAACGATTAATGCACCAAAAAGTCCGTCTATTCTTTGAAGTTCGTTATGAGAATGATACCAATGTGTTCCGGGTGGATTGGCAATGAACCGATAGGTAAAGCTTTGCCGTGGAAGTATCGGACATTGCGTCACGTAGGGGACTCCGTCCATCCAAACATTGTTCCGCATGTAAATACCGTGCCAATGAATTGTGAGTCCTTCTTTTACGAGTTCGTTGACGACCTTCACGGCCACCTCAGCTCCTTCCATAACCTCAAGTGTAGGTCCTGGGAACTGGCCATTGACAAGAATTATATTTCTTCGTCCACTGCCATCTGCAGTGTGCACCTTGGCTGGAGTAAGGGTGATGTTCGGTACCTGGGTATGCCAGAGGTTAGGTGCTAATTTGAGAGTTCCTTTTTCGTCCATTTTCACGTCGTATGAGGCGCTACCATCCTCAGTTCTGAATGTCATCGTGCGGCTCTCGCTTACGACGAACGTAAACTCACAAATCGAAGCAAAGCAAAATTCGGATTCTGCCCAGCTGATGGGCATGAAGTTGCAGAAGAGAAGGAGTAACGATCCCGTTACAATGACGTTCTTTATCATTGCGGTACGTAGTCCTGCTGTCCTGCCTTCTTGTCAAAGAAAAAGAAAGAAACACCGGCAGATGTCTCGACTGCTAGCTTAAGAATGACTTCAATTTTCTGCTCTTCAGACACTTGTCACGGTTGACGTAATTTGTTGAAATGTATACATATTTGTAATGTCTGTCCAGCAAAAGCGATATGTACATCTCATTATAGCAATTTTGATTTTAGCTTTCAATCTCCTTTTATCAGTTGCATATATCTTCCTAACTCTGCTTGTTTCTCTTGTTTTCCAACAATATTTCGCAGATTTTGCTCGCGTGCAGAATGAGGTGTAACTATCTTCCATCAAATAAGAAGATATATTGCTACTCCGCATCACGCTATTTTTGGTTCCTGTTACATGTATATTAATTAACCTCACTCACGCAATGTAAGACCAATCCTGAGTGTCTCTTAAAAAGCACGGAAAGAGTCTTGTAAGTCTGGCTCAAGCTTGGGTTAACAGGCAAAATGCTGCGACAGTTTATCATAATTAAATCAATAGAATTGCTGAATTATCAAATCCTGTAGAATTTTCTTGTTAACAACATAACTAAACGAGTGCCGCGTCATCAGTTGTTCTGCTCTTTTATGCCCCGGGCTTTTATGCTTTAGTAACTCTAACCTGTTATCTCAAGTATGTTTTGTTCAGATCTCATCGGGCCCACGAGGACTCTTGAGACCGGAAAACTTTGGCGGTATTCTTGACTAAATATCGAGTATACGCAGGAATTGACGGTGCTTTTGGCGTGACTAAGTAAGAAACCTGTGGTTTAAAGCCATATGGGGATACCACAAGCCTCAAATACACATCGCTAAAGCCCATTAAGAACATATTAAGGTGCATCAGAAACCAGCAAAAAGCAAAGGCCAGGTCAATAACAATGGACATCTTTAGCACGTTTTTCTTTGACTCATTTAAAACTCGGCGGTTTGCCGGGCTGGTGTCAGTCCTGGTGTGCGCCTTCGTCAGACTTTGACAACGATGAAAAAGTAGAACATTGCAATTGCTACCGAAGGTAAGGCGTACATTAAAACAAAAGATATGATAGTGTAGATTGCTTGTGCTCTTTCGGGGTCAAAAGCCGGCGCTCAATCTTCGATGCATTAGGGGACACCACCGTAAACGCGTACCTTCACTGCAAAGAAAAATGGCGATGAGATTCCAATCGCTACCACCCAGATGACTGCGATCGACCATAATACACCTCTGATGGTGACAACGTTCCTCAGTGGAAACACGATGGCAAGGAAGCGCTCAAACGTCAGCACCGTGAGAGAGAAAATCGAACAGGCTGCTGATGATCCTTTTAGTTGCCAGATTAGGAGAAACTTGTAGGTTGCTTGACGAAGAAAACACAAGTGGAACATTTTGGTCGAACCAAACAACAAGCACTTATGAATAATACGTGAATTATTTCTACTACATTGAGTGGAGTCAGATGATAAATATATCTCCTTATCGTTATGCATTTTGATTGTGTAACCTTAAATAATCATGATCACTTAGTCACGCAGTATGACACAAGCTTAAATTGCTCTGCATGTGCAGAGCGCTAAAAAGGAAGTTCCTTTTAAGCTTCCTGGAACGTGTTAATCAATTCTCGGAAAAAGAGGATGCATTAAGTTATAAATATTAGCCAATAGCTGTGCATTTTCAAAGAAACGATTATTTCATTTCAGGTACTGTTCAGTTAACATACAAAATTAAATCGCAAAGTAACCACTCTCTCTTGTCGCGTTCCCCTTGTTGTAACGGATAGCTTTAAGAGTTACTCCGAAATCAGAGCGATCAAGCTGACTAATGAAATGAACCGAGCTGGCTACTGCTGGAGATGCGAGGAACCCTACACTGTAAGGTGTTCACGTTGTCGAGTAGCCTTCTACTGCTCCAAGATATGCCAGGAACAAGACAAGTGGCGACATAAACCTAATTGTGATGCTGCAGCATTAAACAGAGAATGCATGGGATGCCACAAAGAACAAGAAGGCATGCTGAAATGCGCTGCCTGCATGAGGGCCTGGTATTGTAGTACAGAATGCCAAAGAAAGGACCTGAAAAATCACAAGAATTTTTGCCGTGAAATCGTAAAGAAAACGATTCATCTGGCCACAGAAATAAAGCAAGAATTGACAATAACTCGGCAATACCCTGGAGTACCAATGACGTATTACTGGGGTAATACACCGGCTGTAGATTTGATCAACTTGTCAATGAACGAAGGAGAGGAGTATTCCAGCCCGCTTGCTCTTTTGTTGTGTGGAGTCGGTGATCCCAGGAATGTTCTGTTGACCATTGCATCTTTACCTGATGCTTATAAACAGCAAGTAACGTTCGTGTTGAATGACATATGTCCCTGTACTCTTGCCAGAACGGTCCTGCTGCTGTACATGCTGAACAAAGGTAAGGCACTAAGCCAGGTAGGGTGTCCTCGTTCAGCGAAGGGATTTTGAGAGAGGGTAGAAACTGATCGAGCAAATTATAGTTCTGTTTGGAAGGGAATCTTAATATATACCAAAATGGGTTGATATGCTAAATATTAAGGGGATGGGAGCGAAAACAGTTTTGCATTGCCGATTGAAAAGCCAAAGAGGAGAAGTGAAGGTTAGCCTTTCTTGCTCAAAATAGGGGAGGTGGTGGATTTGAGCTTACGGCTTGGATGGTGTTATAAGCATAGCCTCATTTGCCTTGATCATTGCCCGAATTAGCTTGAAATAGTGTAGGCAAACAAACAAGAAAGACAGGAGGCATCTAAAAGACACCTTTAGGGGCAGTCTGTCTCACGCCTTGCACGTAACTTTTCTCTTTTCAGGAGGAAGTGAGGCTGTTGACGCTGTTATCCAGGTGTGGTACTCACTGCGCGTCTCAGAAAGCGACTTTTTGCAGCTGATGTCCGCTCTAGAAGAACTGGGGGCTACCCGTGACCTGGAAACTCTTACGAGTAACTTCATGAACGTGGATGATCCTGATCAATTCAGTGAACTAAAGAGGGTTTGGCGCACTTGGATTCAACTTTCAACGAGGAAGGGACGTTGGGTGACTGAAATGAGGAAAGCTGCTTTTGAAGCAGATGATAAGGTTGAAGCAGTGATGCGGAATTACTTAATGGCAATTCCACCGAATCACAGGGAGTCTGTCGAGCTGTGGCGCGCTGAGGGGATATTCACATCACAGTGCGATGCATCGAGCTTGACACGAGAGAACATGACTTTTACTGGTTCTCATTTTATGCTCAAAAACAGTAAGGGAGACTACGACTTTTCCCCTCGCCCGTGCGTCCTTCCTTTTCAAGGGTGGGACTACCAGGAGGTCAGCAAGACTACCTCTGATGATTCTCTGCCAAAGATGTACGGCGTTTACTTGTCAAAGATTTTGCGCAAGTGCGTTGAAAGACTGAGTAGAAGTAAGGTAAAGCTACATATTGTACTGAGCAACTGTGTACAAATCGAGCCATTTTTACCCTCGGAACTGAGTTATGACCGCATTACAACATCTAATCTATGCGATTACATTTCCCTCACTTCCATTTTGTCACAGTTTAAAGCTAAGTTAAATTCTAACAACAGCCACTCGGTCTTGATTACGGAGATAATTAAATGGCAAGTTGGCTTTTTTCCGGAAATCGGTACTAAAATTTTAAGGTCGTCAGACGACCCTGCATACAAAGAAGCAGTTCTTCAGGATACAAACAACCCATTACTTCTGTTTTCAGGTCCAAATAGTTACAGGGAATACCATAATGTTATTCCAGAATTCCAGTTGTATCTGCGCGCGGCTCTTCTCGAGTCACGCAGTGACAATGAACTCTGTTCTTTAGAAAAGAGAAACAAGCTTCCATCCATCAAGGCTATCGTCACTGCTTTAGGCCTTGAGCTGCGTGATTATGTAAGGAATGAAAACAAAGTTTTTCCGTTTAAGTGGGCTGTGAATTGTCGTCGAGTTACCAGAATGAAAGGATATGAATTCGCTCTGGAGTGGAAGCTTCCGACGCCAACTTAATAGGGAGCTTAAGCAAACCACGACTACGACGGCCACGAGAACGTCACCAAACAAGAGGTTTCAGAGCAGAACAATAGCTGTGCACGTGCATTATAAGTCCTTGCAAATTTCTTTTCCGTCCTCTGCAAGACAACAACGTGAAATGACTAAGTTTTGCTTAGTCTGTGGAACGCGAGCGACGGCGGCTAATTTTTCGTATTTGCAATTGGTATTGAATGCTGTCACTGCTGTGCACTTTTTTAGAGCCATTGGCGTACTGAACAGATCTAGACACTTATAAATTCATTTTTGACACGCGTCGTCCTCGGCGTCGCCATCGTCGTTGCTTAAGCCCCCTCATAGTTCTTATGCATTCAAATTAAATACAGTTTAGCTGGTGCAAAATGTAAAAGAGTAAGTTCTGGTTAGCGAATAAAGTATTGTGTGAGTCTGTGGTCATGTGTCAGTTTGTTTACTGGTCTCGAACTATCTTTCACTGATACGCTGTTACAAGAGGCACCTCAGAGAATCGGTTAGCTCAACGTAATCGGTATAGAATTCAATTCTGTTCAGTATCTTTCTCATGGTGATAGAAAAGAGTAGATAACAAATTGAAAACGCTGGATCTCGCTAACGATACCAACACTTTCATCCCCCCAGAGTCCCTCAAATCTCTTGGTACACACGTCGGCTAGGTTCCTTTAGTTATAGTAAATGTATGCTCTCAAGCATGTTAAGTGGTAGTGATGTATCATTTAAGAGATAAATAGTAAAACAGGTCACGTGACATAATTTGTCTCTTAATATCTTGTCCAGAGAATAAGAAATTAGACCATTCCGGGCACGAATAGTTTCTTTGAGTAAAGGCAAAGAATAAATGATATCTTATCTTTCGCGTAAGTTAACTTTCCCCATCCCATTTGAGGTTTTACTATTGCCCGGATTATGACGTCATTAGACACGTGACCGCCATAAAAATATCTTAAGCGATTTAAGGACGCCAAATTCCTATTGGTGTGTACTTTTGGTCTTATTAGGGCAAAAAGCAACGTTATTTCCATAGAAAAAAGGTTTAAACTTCCCAGGGGGTCTTTCCAAGGAACTAGCCATGCTTTAAGATGCTTGAGAGCTGGCTTTTTGAACCTCCCTTCAGATCATGATTATGATTTTTACCCCATTAATATCGCTAATTAATCTAACTTCTCAGAAAGTGGCACTTCCCAGCTTCCTGGAATTCCGGCTTAAAACAACCAGATAGCTTTAAGTGATCCGGCATTGGTCTAACTAAGACAAAGCACTTAGTTCTACTTCATTTCGACAGGAAGGGAAGAACTAAATAAGCTTTCCATAGATTCCCTTCTCTTGATCTGGATCACTTTCGGGTTAGAAAATAAATTTGAAACGAGTTAGAGTATTTAAACCTGATTAATTATTAAAAGGTTGTGTTTTCACTAGGACAATTTTGGCTAGATAAAGTCGGAAAAGTCCGGAAATGCAGTGAAAACAGTTCGTCTTGAGTTTAGCGAGTTAAAAATGCAAGCTGTCTTCACCAGAAAAAACGAGCAATTTTCTCACCAATATGACCGGAAATTCACGCCAAGTTATACTACCTCGCGGGATGGTATAACTTGTCCTGGCGAGTGCTGCAGCCAATCACATTCTGCATAGTGACAGACGCCTGCCAAAGAATCTGGTAACACTATTTATCACACGCTCATATCGCAGTTCAGTGTGTGAAAACTGAACTTTTAAAACAGTAGACGAGTTCAACAGTCCTTCTCATTTATTTCGGTTTACCATTCCAACGGTCCCATTAGCTTCTCCAGTTCCTCGGCCAGGACCCTACCTATGACACGGCGTCGCCGTGCAGAACGAGTTCCTGCATTACAACATTTCGTCGCATCTTCCTCATTTCTGGGGACATTAACCGCATTCTCTGGAAAAAATGCCTTCTCAATCTCCTTCACATAAATATAGCTAGAATCAATACAAGAGAAGTCAGCCATTTTTGAAAGTTGCGCGCTTTTGTAATTTGAATCTTCTGAGTCAGCGGGTTAAATTCTGGCTTAAATTTCCAGTGGAGACAGATGTCACGTTTAACTAACAAATGTTGGTCTGTAAACAAACACCTAGAAAGAATGTTCAGCTAGTTAATCGGCCTAGTGAAAACGCAACCTTAATCAGATGTACTGTGAGACCTTGACACGTACATTTACTATATAATGAACTCACATAATGTATTTTATTTGAATTTGAGAATGATGGCATGGAGTCGTCAAAACGTCATTCTTTAATATCGCTGCTTTTTATTTTTAATTGAAGAAAATTGTTGCGAAAAGTAGAGCGCGGGTCTACTTTAAGCAACAAATTTTGGCTTTGTTGCTCGTTTTTCATCAAACTCACA